ATTTTTATTTTCTTGGTACACCTCACCAGGAAGCACACACTGTCCATTAGGTTTGTTCTGGCAGGGTTAACTTTCATCATTTGGGTAATGTGGTATCTGCCTATGCCTCCACTGTAACGTGACTGTCCTATGTTATTAAAAAGTATCTTGTGAGATATACTTTGAGACTGTGTAAATATTCAGGTACTTATCAAATCTTCCCCATTAGTTTATTTTATTATTTTATTTATTGATTAAGGTATTACATATGTGTCCTTATCACCCCATTGACCCCCTACCCCCCACTCATGTCCTCACCCCCCTGTTGTCTGTGTCCATTGGCTAGGCTTATATGCATGCATACAAGTCCATTAGTTGCTCTCCCCCTTACTCCCGCCCTCCCCTACCTTCCCTCCGAGGTTTGACGGTCTGATCGATGCTTCTGTGTCTCTGGATCTGTTTTTGTTCATCAGTCTATGTTGTTCGTTATATTCCATAAATGAGTGAGATCATGTGATATTTATCTTTCTCTGACTGGCTTATTTCGCTTAGCATAATACTCTCCAGTTCTATCCATGATGTTGCAAATGGTTAAGATCCATTCATAATTGTTAGCTGATCAGTTAATATTATGATACTTGGCAAATAGTAAATTTCTAATGTCATTGTTCCTTCTACATTGTAAGGAAGAGCTTTCCCTTGACTCTTATTTATCTGTCTGTCCATCTACCTTTTTATTCATTCATTGTACACGCAGTGTACACTCAGGGATTTTTACGTATTTAATAGCCTGTAACTTTGCTATTATTATTTATTTTGATACTTAAATTATCCTAAATTTGGCCCATGTGATTGACCACCTCCCCTCCCCCCGAAATCAGCTCTTGTGTCCTTTTGACATGTCCACATCATTCTTTGAGCACTTCCTTAAAACACATGTATTTCTTTAGAATAATAATGTGCAATATTAGTTCTTGATATAATCGGGAAAGTTACTTCATTCTTTGATTTTGCATTCAGTCAAAAGGTCTACCTTGCATCCTCATCTTTTGTAGGAAATCAAAACTGAGTTTTCTTCCTATCAAAAGTTCTTTGTAAATGTATAGTATTAAAATATTACTCTTTTCGTGACTGTGAAAGTAGTGTTTATTGTAACCAAATCTAATATAAGTATTTGTTAAGATATAGAAAGTATGGTACTATATAATGGTTAAGTAAAAATCACTTCTAAATCCTAGTACTTCAAAATAATCACTGTTTAAAGAAGAACTTGAAATAAATTGAATAACCAGTGACCTGATCCATATGGTTAATTAATGAAATAGTCCTCATTCAAGGACTTGATCCCAGTAGCTGCTTTAAGTCATAGGCAGACATGGTTTCTCTCCCAGGTGAAAGATGTGATGAAGGACATCATGTCAGCCTTGCAGCAGACAAACAGCGAGAAGATCCTGCTGAGCTGGGTGCGCCAGTCCACCAGGACATACAGCCAGGTCAACGTCCTCAACTTCACCACCAGCTGGACAGACGGACTCGCCTTTAATGCCCTGCTCCACCGACATAAGTGAGACATGACTCTACTCCAAATGTGCATCTTCTTTCTCCCGCCCTCACTGCTCCTCCCTAAAGCCCCTCCCCACTACCCCTGTTATCCTCTCTGTACACGTTCTACCTAAATATTAAGAAAAGAAATATCATGGAAAAAACTACCCACCAAGTCTTTATTTTGTAGGACTTAAATGGCACAGTGCAGCCATGGTTGCTTCTATGTATTCATAAGTTAAAACATGTAAAATGATTCACATAGTTCAGACCCACTCATTCAGCACTAACCAGAAATATATGCAAAGAATTGTGCTAGTATTCATTCTTGTACCAAAGGGGAAGTTCTATAATTCAGTGCAATCCCAATTAATTATAGAAAATGATTTTTTAATGAAATTTGTAAACAGATTCTAATTATATGAAAGACCAAAGGCCCATGAGGAGCCAGTACAATTGTGAAACAGTAGAACCAGGCTGAAGTACTTCTCAAACAGAAACCAAAACTAATTATGAAGCTACATTAATTAAAACTATAGTGCTATAAATAAATACACTAATTTAATTATAGGCTGAACCATAGGAAATTGCCAGTATTTGACTGTTTTTTTTTTGACATATAACAATGGCAGTTTCTATACTTCAACCTAACAGAATAAAGGGCTCAGAAATAGCTCCATCCCAATATACAACTGAACTGATTGCTATTAAAATAGATGCTATGAAACAACTGGTTACCCATATGTAAATAATTGAATTAGATCTTTACCTCACCATACCCACAAATAAATTTCAGATGCATCAAGGATTTAAATGTGAAAGGTGAAATTTCGTACATGTTTTATTGCTATTTTAAATAATTTATTGTTTCAAGTTTTGTTTCCTGTATATGCTCTGTTTATATATAAAAATGTAATTGACATCTCTACATCTTAGATCTAGAAACTTGTTAAAATTTTACAAAATTTAAATTTGTTTCTATAGATTTAAAAACATATTTTTGGTAGACCATCCATAGTTGATAATAGTCCCTCTCTTCCCCTCCTCACCCTTCCCTCCCCTCCCTTCTCTTTTCCCCTGTTCATTTGTGCCTTGTCCTTCAATACAATATTGATTTGAATTGGTAATAGTGAGCAGAATATTTTTTTCTTGAAAATGAAGGGAATGTTTTTAATGTTTTACAATAACAATGATATTTGCTGTAGCTTTTTTGATATATATATATATATATATATTTTTTTTTTTTTTATCTGGTTAGAGAACCCCCACACCCAATCTTTTTTCACTGTATTAGTTTAGAGAGGTTACCATCTGTTCCTAGTTGAATAAGACTTGTAGTCAGAAAACTTGAGTTTTAGCCTAAACTTTTTTCCATTGATTACTTAATTGGTTCAATAAGTGTGTTTGTAGTACTTTCTCTGTGTTAGGCTCAGGTTGTATAACAGAGAAAAAAGGCAAACACCCCATCTCCTTGGGGTTTATGTTCAAGTAGAGGGAGGCTGACAATAAAGAAAGAAAAGGAAATATAAGTTGTGTAGCATAAAGAAGTGGTAAACATGCTGAAGAAAAACTAGCAGGCAAGAGGGGAGGCTAGTGGGTGCAGGGCGTGAGTAGGGAGAGAAATAGGAGATGAAGTCAGAAAGGAAACGGATGGAGTGGGCGAGGCGATCCCAGGAGGTAGCTGGGTCTAGGATGCAAGAACAGATAGAGTGCAAAAAAATCATCAAGTTTTGGATAAGTCAAAGCACAAAATGTCCAATTTCTAGGATTAAAAGAAAATCTAGATAGAAATGAAATCCTAGGCAATGTAATATGGAGGGGGTGACGAGGGTAATTCTCTCAGGACCTTTGGTTTAGGAATATCCTGTGAACAGATTAAAGCTGGACTTTCCACTCTGCTAATAATTGGTCTTTCAATAAGAGAATTAATTCATTAGTATTAATGGTGGTAATTGATGTATACAGGTTAATTTTTCATTTTTTTTACCAATTTATTTTGAGCTTTTTATTTCTCTTTTCTGGATCTTTTTTCTTTTCTTTTCTTTTCTTTTTTTTTTTTTATCTTATAATAGGTTCGTCCTCTTATTTCTCTTTTACTATTTGGGAAATATTACATACTATTTTTAGTCTGCTAGTGATTACTCCAGGATATTTCATAGGTATGTTTAGCCAATACAAGAAACTTAGAATATATTATCCATTGTTTTCATTTTTATAAGTTACTTTAAAATACTATATATTTGACAAGGTTTTGGGATATAAAGTTAAACTTATTAATTTAAACTCACAAACAAAAAAAATCTAAAACTGCAATGTATTAGATTATAACAATGACCACTTCGTTTCCACATGTGTTGTTTTCATCACATTTTATTTGCATGGTGTTTTCAGACCTGATCTCTTCAGCTGGGATAGAGTTGTCAAGATGTCCCCCACTGAGAGACTTGAACATGCCTTCGGCCAGGCTCAAACGTACTTGGGAATTGAAAAGCTGTTAGATCCTGAAGGTATTGTTCCGTGCTTATTTTTAATCTTGATTTTGTTGCACAATTTTGGACACTTGAAGAGCAGTATTTTTTTTTGTTGTGGTGGTGTTCTTTTTTTTCAAGAGGAATTATGAGAACTGAGCAGTGTTCTTCCATTTGAAACATGGGGCAAGTCATTTTATTGCAGTTATTTGGACTTTTGTACTTAACAATTTGTAGGGTCCTTTAGGAGGAAATTTAATTACATCATTGGAGAATAGTTATTTGATACCCCAGAAGAGTTAAAGTTTTAGGAAAATATAATTATTAGATAACCAATTCAGTATTTGGTTTATTTTACTGAAATGCATTTTTATATATGCTTCTTGTATATGATGTGAAAACTTTAGTTACAAATGTTGTGAAATTTAATTCTAGACTTATTTTTGTAATATTAATAAAATCTGGCATTCTCTTAAATGCCAGCTTATCTTGAGCATTTGGGAGAAGCTTTTAGGGAAGAATTTAAAGAAATGGGATACTGAACAAAATTAAGAAAGTGTCCTTGCCTTTGTCTCATCTATCATTATATGAAACAGAAACTTACTGAGCTATGGTACTGCAAAAATTATATAACAGTATTGTTTATGGGTGTTGAGGATAGTTATTTTATATCTCCTACTGAGCTGTTCACATATTTTGGACATCTAATTTAAGCTGGTCTTTATTTCCTTCCTCTTTTAGATGTTGCTGTTCAGCTTCCTGACAAGAAATCCATAATTATGTATTTAACATCTTTGTTTGAGGTGCTACCTCAGCAAGTCACCATAGATGCCATCCGTGAAGTAGAGACTCTCCCAAGGAAATACAAGAGAGAATGTGAAGAAGGGGATATTAATATACAGGTAAAGGTAAATTTTATTGAAATGTTTGACTGGCCGTATTTGTTATCTCTTTGGTACCAGATAAAAACACTTTTAGGTGATTATTTTCTTTCCTTTTTTAAAAAAAATGTTTTTATTAATTTGAGAGAGAGCGGAAGGGAGGGAGAGAGAGAGAGAAACATTGATCAGTTGCCTCCTACTGGGGACTAAGCCCAAAACCCGGGCATGTGCCCTAACCGAGAATCAAACTGGCGACCTCTTGGTGCATAGGGCCAACGCTCCACCAGCTGAACCACACTGGCCAGGGCAGGGGGTTTTTTTTTCTTGACAGAACATCTTGGCTTGTCCACTTGCATACAACCATTATATTTTCATAAGGGCTATCAAAATACAAGGTTTATTTTCTCTTTCATTTAGAAGGAATAATTGTCAGTATATTACTCGGGTTTTTCACTTAAAGATTTATAATGCTTTTTTTCATTAGGATAAAGATTAGTTTTTAAAATAAAGTCATGAATTTTTCTTCCTGAATTATCTTGCCTTGAATTAATACATATTTTATCTTACTCTGTGTCAATCTAACCGGTCCTCTTAATTCATAACATGAGAGAATCTTCAGTTGGGTAAGACCTTAAAAAGTTGTTCAGTCCAACATTTCAGCAACCAAGAGATACACCTGAATTTTAAAATGATAAGAAATGTATTTTAGAGAGGCAGAAGCGTGGACTTTGAAGCTGAAATTATATTCCTGTCCCTACTTGTTGTGGATTGGTTACTTCCCCTCTCAACCAGTTTTATCTATAAAATCTGGATAAAACCAC